AAAAAAAAAAAAAAAATGTTATTATTCTACTAAGTTAATTTTTGTCGCCACTTTTCGGGATGGGGTATGTGGCCTACTTATGTTGATTACAGCTAATATTGAAAGAGATGCAACCCGCTGAAAAATGATATTTGAAATATAGAATAAAATGTATCATAAGCATAATTATTTGACATGAAAGTGAGAAATTATTGTCAAAATCACTTATATTTCTCTATATATGGGGACACGTCGCCGTTGTATGAAACAGGGACGGCTAATCCTTTTGACTTCCATTTCGTCTCTTTCTCTTTGCTATATACAATTATATATACACCACACACTTCACATTTAACAACACGGTCGGACTCAAAATCATCTCTTCTTTCTCTATATAGATCATTCAAATTCAACTTCTATTACAACTTAATAATTGGGCAAAGAAATTGTGAAAACAAGACAATGGGGAGAGCACCATGTTGTGATAAAAATGGACTGAGAAAGGGTCCGTGGACTACAGAAGAAGACCAGAAACTGATTGATTATATACAGAAAAATGGGTATGGAAATTGGAGGACTCTTCCAAAAAATGCTGGTTAGTATATACGAATCTCCTTTTTGTTTTGAATTGTCTTATTTTTACAAGTTTTGTGCTAATGGGATTTGATTTTTGTAGGGCTGCAAAGGTGTGGAAAGAGTTGCAGACTACGTTGGACTAATTATCTTCGTCCTGATATCAAAAGAGGAAGATTTTCTTTTGAAGAGGAAGAAGTTATTATTCAACTCCATAGCATCTTGGGAAACAAGTAGGTTATTCTTTCTTCTTTTTGTTACAAAATCTATATGATTTGAAGAGTGAGTTTGGGAGTAAAGTTGAATTTATTTGTTTAATCATAGGTGGTCGGTTATTGCTGCTAGTCTTCCAGGGAGAACAGACAATGAAATCAAGAACTACTGGAACACCCACATTAGAAAAAGGCTTCTTCGAATGGGAATAGATCCTATAACACACATGCCTCGTCTTGATCTTCTTGATCTCTCAGCGATTTTAAACTCATCTCTCTACAATTCTTCACAAATCGATTTTTCAAGATTGCTTGGAATGCAAAATCTTGTAAACCCTCAATTCCTTAGGTTAGACAATCTTTTATTCCAAAACCAGAACCAGAGCCAAGATTTTCTGCTTCAAACCAATGCTCAAGACTATCAAACTTGCAATAATTATCAATTCCTAAATCAAATCCCACCATTAGTACAACCTTGTACAACGTTGGAAACTCCGAGTGTTCCACTCGATCAATTCCATGTCACCAACTTCAACCCACGAAATTGCCAACTAAATGAGTGGCAAACCAATCAAATAGTACCTCCTATGCCAAAAGATTATGCACCCTTATCAAACTATGGATATGATTATGTATACGGGTCGGATCAATCTATCATGGATCATCCTCGATCAGAGACTTCAAATTTTCAATCCAACGGCAGCAGTAATTTCAGCAGCTTTCAATCAGTTTTGTCAAATATATCAAGCCCTTCATCAAGTCCAACTCGATTTGATTCCAATTCTATCAAATTGACCAGCAGCAGTACTGAAGAAGAGAAAGAAAGCTACGGCAGTAATTTGTTGAAGTTTAATATAGCAGATATGTTGGATGTTAATCGGTTCATGTAAACTGAGAAACTATAATATAAAATTTACGATAATTTCTGCAAAAACAGGAAGAATCCTTGTCTTAACTGTATTAAACCAAATGTTTTCAAGGATCCCAAGTTCCCAACAGTCGGCCACCGGTGTAAGCGCCGCCGGCAGTGGCATGAATGTAGGCGGTGACACGTGTAACAACCGCCTGTATAATAGCGTAACTCCTTTTCACGTATAAATAAATTGCATTTTTATATTTGCATGGCTCTTGTATTAAGCAGTGGTTGGTTGGACAAAACAGCGACAAAAGGTGTTGGGGACCATTTGGAAAAGTTTGAAAATCATGGCGTGGTTTTTGTGCTAATTTTTTATTTTAATTGTCCTTCCATGCAATTAATGAGGTCATGTGTCACGTCAGCATCGGACACGTGGTCAAAATAATATGAGGACGTGGCCCCCACTTTAGGAGGCTACACTCGTCAGCGTTTGACCCGATTTGCTGATTGGTCCCTTTATGGAGTCGTTAAGTATCAATTAATATATGATTTCTTAAGAGTAAATGCTATTTATAATTATTCACCGCAATAGTCATCTTACGTGACATTTTACATGATAGTGTGTGATTTGATGTATTAATGAAATAACTTTTTCTTGTCCCATATATTAATTCACTAACTGTCACATATATGTTACGTAAAACGATTGCTATAGCGAGTTACTATAAATAACATTATTTATTTGTTAAATATGTATTAGTTTGTGATCGTTCGGTTTAGAGAGAAAGCAATATTTAAATCCTTCCCTTATAACATTTTGGAAATCCATAATTTGAAATTCCACATATTTTGCACTATATTTTAAAAAGGAATCACTTGGAGGGGTGTTGACATCCCTATGTACATAAATTATATGCGCTAAAACTTTTCCTTTAAAAAATTGAGAAGAAAATCATTTCGCCCCTAGCCTCTATTGAAATTATAATTCATTTGTTTCTCTACTTTCTTATCAATCGCAAAACTTTTTCTTCTTCTTCTTCTTCTTCTTTTTTTATTTTATTTTTTTATTTTATTATCACATACTTTTAAAAATTACAATTACAAAATATATTTTTCACAAATTCTTGTTATAATGGGGCCAAAGAAGGGCGTCACATCCAAACATAAAAATTTGAATATTTATAAAGTGATATTGTTTTTCAAGTTTTTTAAATTTGTCCTATATGATTCTTGATCACAATTTTCGTGCTCTAAAGGTAACATAATTAGTTGAATAGCACTAGAAGATCTGTATGGCACTTCCAATTCAAAACTTGAAGGGAGATAGATAGATCAATTTATTTTTAATTTTCGTTTTCAAAATATAGAATCATTTTTTGGTCCTCGTTATTTCAAAATACATTTTTTGTCTCTTATTTTCAACCACATTTTTCAATCAAATAATATTATATACAGATTCAATTTTTTCTTATTTTTCAACCACACATTCGCCATTAAAATATTATTTCAAAATGCATTTTGAACAAAAAAATGGGACTCAAACAGGCTCATTATAAAATAATTGCCTTAGGAACATTTTTGACTTGTCTAAAGATGTAAAGCACTTGGCTCAACCTATGGACCGGCTCGGAGCGAGTAGTTCCTTAGGCTCGACATATCACATATTTTTTTTGTTGGAGATAAAATTAAAAATTAACGTACATGTAAGGTTACTCGTCTTCAAATTTGAAGGCATTTATTAATTGTAATATCGTAATTCAATTTTACACGTATAAATACAATAATCAAGCATCGATATAGCCTCTAATTTGAAAGTGACATGGATCATTTGCACGAAACAATCCTATCATTTACATGTTTTGCACAAAACAATTAGGGTCGTTTGATTGGCGTGAATTTCATGAAAAATGTCATATTCAAGGAATTTGTTTTCTACTTTGACTGTTTGATACGAAAATGAAAATAGAATTTGAATTTCAAGGTACAAACACTAAAACATATTTTTAGCCAATTCTATGGAAAAATGCATTCCTATGATTTTGGTGATTTTATCTTTTTCAACTTACATGGAATTAATTTATCTTTTCCACATTTACAATCAAATGGACTCTTATATCATTTCATTTTGACACAAAACTCACTCAGATCAAGCGAAC